GAGTCGGCTGCTTTGGATGCACTACATGCACGGAAAACGTTCTGCCTTCTGCTTCCTTGTACGCCGCACTAAATGGACTTGATGCGCCGCAAGAACCCTAGAGGCGTGTCCACCATAGACTTTGCATATAAACTGGCCGCTCCTGCAGCTCAAAACGCATTCGGTGTGAACGTACCGTAAGACTGCAAGGAAAGCTCAACTTCCCCTAAAATTTAAAAAATAAGTGGTCAAATATATACTGTTGTGTGTACATGTCATTGACTAAATATGCGCTCCAACGCGTTCAACTTTTGTTCAGAATCATTCCCACAGCTTCACAGTGCTTTAAACAGTGTGGATGCTGAGCATCCACAGAGTTCAGTAACGAAGCAAAGAGTGCAGTGAAAGGAGACGAGTCATTGGATACTGTAAATGCTGGGCTTTGTCCCACCCATCGGCTGCTCAGCATCTCTGGGGGTCTAAGGGGCAGTGGGCGGGCCTCGGTTGGCCCAGACGCTCGGCTTCTGCATGAAGATTGGATGATCTGTCTGAGGCTGAAACCCTTTTTGATTGACAGCGAAATGAGCGAATCAGCGATCTTTTGGTGTAAACATCCGTGGGAGCATTTTTTAGTTTCATTCTGTTCTGAGTTGAACCAGAGACTTTATTAATCCTCTTAGCGGCATTTTCTTTGATAAAAATGACTAGCGACAAATCCAGCTTCTATTTCTGTTGGGTTTTTTTTGTAGCTGCGTATGTTTGGAGACTCTTTCTGACTTCTATCGCAGTTTCTGTCCAGCGGGTGCTGCTGAGCCCCTCCACCATCACAAAGCACACACAGGCGGACACACTTCACACTAGCCTTGTGCCAGTAGCAAGCTGCATATAATGGCAGACACTTTGAATGTTGTGGACCAGATTTTGGCSAAGCCATTTGATAGTCTTCCTTATGAAGAAAAACTTAAGAGTTAAACAGCAGGGCTGATCAACCCCTCAGATTAATGTGGTGCAAAAGTGGAGGAAAGTAACAGGTCTTTTCAGCTGTCCTGGTATGACAAAGTGAGCTGGCTGACTGGAAGTTCAGTAAAATGATCTGTGACAGGGTCACAGATCCACCGCTGGTGGGTGATGACAGTGGGACCTGAAGGGGCAAGATTGGGTGGAAGGGTCTCTTCGATCTGAACCTAAGCAGTGTTCTGTTGTTAGACTTCTGTGCTAGCCATGGCTTGTCCCTCTTGAACACCGTGTTCCAACATACAGTGGAGAAAATAAGTATTTAGTCAGTCACCAATTGTGCAAGTTCTCCCACTTAAAAAGATGAGAGAGGCCTGTAATTGACATCATAGGTAGACCTCAACTATGAGAGACAAAATGTGAAAAAAAATTTGAGAAAATCATTTTGTCTGACTTTTAAAGAAGGCTCTGGCGGGCGGGTTGCCGGGCCCTGGGC